TAAAGAAAAAAAATTATTTGGATAATATAGGGCTATATTACATACGCGCTGTATGTACGCCTGTTTTCTCCAGCACCGCCTCGGCAAAATTCATTCCAAAATGGCTAAAAACTAATTAATAAATCGTTATCCTATAATATAAATACGTCGGAGCAATGGTTAAAAGGCGGCCAGCTCGTGCGCTGGACGCTGGTGCGGCGTGAGTGCGGGACATCACGAATTCACAACTTACGACGATAAGCGGATAAAAACCACTTATCCCCGCACCTCACTCCACCAATGTTACAGCGGCTGGAATAAAATACGAATTTATTAGTATAATTGGTTCTTATCGCCATCTACCGAGAGTTTAATTGTACGCCGTCGTAAATACGGCCAGTGAGCAATCTATAGTATTTATAATCAATGGTATTACCTACCGGCTACCCAAGGTTTATAGATAATAAAATAATATTAAATATTAAATAATATTTATTTATTTAATTAGGTATCTAATAATTATCTATAAACCTTTCCGGCTACCAACGATTACAAATAACAATAAATTTACATAGATACGTTTACTAACAGACAAGAACTATGCATAAAGTGACCGCAGACGTCCCGATTTTGGCGGGACAGTAAACTGTACCGCCTTATACTTTTCGTCCCGCTTTTGTCCCGATTACAAATAATAGTTTTGACTCTTATTTTCAGTGAACATTTTTCACTTATTATGGCGAGTATGTTGTTTATTTTATGTTCCATCAGATCATAATATGAAATTATTTTGGACAGTTCTTACTATCTACAAGGAAGAATTGCAAAATATTTGTCCTTATTTATACTTCTCATGGCTTCTAATGTTATTTTATTTATAACATTGTTTTTGTCGGTTGCTTAAAAATATCTGATGGTGCGCTCAGAAATTTTGCAAAGTTCAATAATAATATGACTTACTTTTATTATAATTGTTATTAATGTTATTTGTTTTATTGGTGACTAAAACTAAAAATAAATAGTTCTTTAAAATTTAAAATTTAAATAAATTACTTTAGGAAAATTAAAGATATTTTGAACTTTGGAATATAGTTAGAATACTAATGATGTTGTCGTTGTGCACTAGTACATCAAATAAAAAAATTAGGCAACATATTTACATTTCTTAATGTTCTGTATTCTTTTTGACATTGAATTAATAAAAATGTCTAAATATTTTAGTTTTCTGTTTCTTACAGACAGTGGAACATGGAACATGGAACGATAATTTTACTATTAATAAATATAAATAATATATTATAGCATATTCATATTAATTTGTTATTTTACATTTATAGTAATATTACCCATTAATATTATAATATTAACTACATAAATAATATATTAATTATTTCAATATTAATATGTAAATATAAACATTTTAAACATGTGTAAATTTTTCTTAATGTAATTTAATTTTAAAATTGTGTAACTTTAAAGCCAAGATTAATTATATATAAAGTTATCAAAATTCCATCAACTTTCATTTAAAATCGACTAAATTACAAAGTAGGAAGGCATTTTTGGTTTTATTGTAATTTATTAAATACATTATTATGATTATTTGTATGAAAATTGAAATATAGATTAATTGTACGTAAAAAATAAAGAACAATGAGCACGTATATAATAGATAAAATAGTTTTATAATTATTAATTAATAATAATAATAACCACTATACAATTATAAAATAATAACAAACACAAAAAATCCAATTACCAGCACACAMAAATAAAAAATATATTTTTATAGATATATGTATATATATTAATAAATGAAATAATAGTATTACAATAAAATATTAAAGATAATTATAATGGAATAAAATAGAAATATATGTAAAATAATAAAAATCACAATGCGCGGCAATGACTGATTTTAACATTTCTAATCATAATTATTATGAACATTGATAAAACAGACACATTCGCCCACGTATATATATTTTAAAAAAAGTAACACAAGTACTGTAATAAGTTTAAACATTTAAAATTATAAACATCACTATTTGTTCCTCAAACAGTCAGTCACTTTTTACTGTTTGTACCTGATGTTGTAATTGTATCATTGCCACTACTCATACTAATTTTTTCTGGTTGAATCGGTGGTGGGCCTGATATTAACAGATCATCGTCCAATAAATTTAAGATTGGAGTGGCATTCGATGTTATAGTGGTCAAGCAACCACCGCCACCGCTGCCATCACTAGTAATAGGATGCTGTTGTTGATAGTACTGTTGCTGCTGTTGATGTTGGTTAAAGACAATTGATGGCTGCTGATAAATGTAATTGTTAAGGGTAGTTGGCACTGAGTTGAGGTTAGTTGCTGATATAACTGTTGTTGGGGGATAATGATGCTGGAGTTGTTGATAATAACTACTGCCCACACTAACCCTGTTATTTGACAATAATGACGGTTGATGAAGACTGGCAGTTACAGCAGATGTTGACGTTGGTTGCAGTAGAACTTGTTGCTGGTGTTGTGGTAGTTGATACAATTGGGATGTTTGTTGCTGGAGCGCTGAAGGGTAGTAAAAATTACCAGTGGTACTTCCTAATTTGGTTGTCAATTGATGAGGCTGTTGCTGTAAATGTTGATACATCTGAGGTGGTTGCTGTTGGTACAGTTGAGGCTGCTGCTGTGGATATAACTGAGGCTGAAATTGTTGTTGGTACAACTGAGGTTGTTGTGAATGCTGTTGCTGTGGTTTCTGTTCCTGTAGATGCTGTTGGTAAATTTGAAGTTGTTGTTGTTGCTGCTGCTGTTGTTGTTGAAGTTGTGATGGTAATTGATGGTAAAAATGTCCAACAGTTGATGTGCCAACACCAGCGGTAGAAGACGATCGCACAACTGCAGCTAAACCACAACTGTTAACAGTAGCTGTTGAAATCGAAGGTGAAGAYATCGAAAATTGTGGCTGCGATATGTCAGCAGATAAACCACTACCTCCCGCTATCATTTTCTGTTGGTTTTGTGGTGCAAATACTCCTACAACACTTGTCGTATCAGCGTTGGTGGTTGAGATTTGTTTCTGGTACTTTTGTGATGAATAAAATTGCTGCTGTCGCGATTCTAATAATGCATGAGGATGGTGATATCCATAACCAACACTACCACTGAATTGTGAAGATAGTGGCCGTTGCAAAATTGCAACTGCTGCTGCGGCATTTGGAAAAACGTCATTACCAATACTCTGATTATACGAAGAAATAATGTTTTGGCCACTGCCATTGTTATCACTCAAATGGAGAGTATTCATCATAGGTTTCATGGGTAAGTCAATATCACTAGAAGCACCTGTAGTTATGATGTTGTTGTATGATGATGACGATAATGTAGGATTTTCTGATGATTTTTTCGTGAGTAATTGATAATTGTAATAGTTATATGGAGTAGATGATGATGATGATAAAGGAGAGGGGAGTGATGGAGTAGAATTTACAGGTACCGTAAGTGCTGTTGTACTAACAGTGACGCTGTAAGTGGCTGCATACGGATAACTTGTTGATATTACTGGTTCTGGCTGTTGCTGTCTGTCGTTGTGACGATTGTAAATTTCTTTTGTGGAAGGTAAATGATCATCATAGTAGGGAATACCACCATCGCTGGGGTTAAATGAGGATGACGACGGCAATTGTATTTGATTATGACGGTACTGATGATAATATTGTTTTTGTTGTTGTTGCTGTTCAGATCCAAGCGGTGAAAGTCTACGATGATGGTTATGCTGCTCATCCCAGTGACTGCTCCCTAGAGGCAAAACAGGCTTATTAGGCCCACCACAATTACTGAAGCTCTCAATCAAGGCGGCTAAGTCTTCCTGTTGGTGATCTTGGTCGTCAATACCCGAGACACCAGCAAGTAAATCATCAAGACCACCAATTGTAGCAGTTGGATCGTCATCTGTCTGTTGTGTTGTAGATTCCCACTTTTGGTGTTGTTTTATCATCTGATCTCGCTGTTCAGTCTGTACTTGACATGTACCTGTTGGAAACAAAACATGCAATTTTGGATATCAACAATAGTGAACGTAAATAATGAGTTGAGGTGGTCAGACAGTACCTAGAGAACTGTTGAGCTGCTAAAGAATGTCATACCTTTTACACGTTGTAACARTTTTGAAACGTTGGTTAGCAATCGCTGGTAAAAATCTAAACCCTTTGCACACCGCTCAGCTAGTACTGCGTCTGGAAGTAGTCCACAGGTCGGTGACGCCGCCACGGTTTCATTACAAGTTTCTAATGGTGACCCTCCATTGGATACCGCAAAACTTTCGTACGCGTCTAGTAATGATGACACTACAGYCCGACGCCGTTGCATGGCATTAGCGAATGCCCGCCGCTCAGGTGCGGCTCTTGCATACGCCGACCTCACAGCGTCCAAAATTTTTAGTTGAGCCGACAGGTTCTGATCAATCATGTTCACCTTACATATTCATCATTTCAATGAAAAATTAATACGAGCTTGAAAAAATTATCATTAAAAAGATTTTATAGGTTTAATTACAAACCAACAACATATTATGAATTTAACGAAACTCTTAAAAAAGAACTAAATATATTTCCATGTATTTAAATTTAAAATGTGTATAATGTATGTAATTATAATTTATATTATATGTAATAAAAAATTAATGAAATTAAGGCAAGAAAAAACTCAAAATGTGTTATGTGAGAAAAAGTTGACATAATATGTTTCATATTTTTTAAAGTTTTTAATTTAATACTAAACCAAATTTTACCACACTCCACGCATATAACTAATAAATGCGGGATATCAGATACATTTCTTTTAATTATTTTATTTGGCTTTGAAAAATAAATTTTGAACAGTTTCAATTAACAAGTTTGAATTGAAAATGTATGTTGTGTGTTTAAATCCTGTTAATAAAACCGTCATCTCTAAGAAAAAACTGAACTGATCTATAGATAGGTACATAGTACATACTCTATTTATCATATTATATATAATCTGTATGATTTTACACTAATTATATACTTGTGTTTAGAAAGATRTAATAATACATGATATAATACGTACCAAATTTCCGTATCGATCATCCAACTTTTTTTTCAGAGCCATCGTCACATCGACTTCCGATCCTCGYAGATCTCCTACCATATCTTCAAGACCTGCGGCTGCAGCGTCCTTATCTTCTCGGTTCATTTCGTCTCGAAGCCGGGATAACAGTGCTTGACGCTGGTCACGCACTTCTTTCATTTTTCCGACTACCATATTTAGCCGATCCAAACGTTTGATTGATTCTCTTTGCAACATCCGTAATCGACTATCACTACCGTCGTCCGATTCCGAGTCTTCGTTTTGATCCAATGACTCTAACGAGGGCAGAAATAAATTAAAATCATATATATAGTTAATTTATATAATACTATACATATTACATTACTTGATATTCACTAGATTAAGTAATAATAATAGTAATAATTCTCACCAGCTACGTCATAAGAAGGTTCAACAGAACCAGAGGCGGCAACTTCAGACGCAATCACAGATATTGCCGGACGAGCAGGCGGTAAGCGAGCAGCAAGTTCATCTGGTGGCAATGCTAGCAGCTCCAGGTCCCGGCGACGGCGATCTCGGACAGCTCGACTCAGAGTCACCCAGCTGTCCCGTGCACGGCCTACATGTGCTTCCCTGTACCGGGAAGCTTCGCGGCGTAATTCACGCATCCGACCAGCAGAATAATCATACGGACGACCTACCGTTCGACGATATTCGGAGTCACCGAGTTCTTCGGTCTTTGATAATATTAACGCCATACGAATTGTCAGCAGATAGAAATATCAAATTAAATGTAATAAATTAGTTAAMTCCAAATAATATACAGTAAAATTAAGTTGTACATGTAAAAATTTGTCACAAAAAATATGGTATATTTAAACAGAATAACAGAAATGAAACCTGTTGAACGTGTTAACAGTAACCACCAGCGGCGTAGATACGATTTTTTTCTGGGGGGAGGGGGGTTGTTAAAATGGTTAAAATATATTTATGACACAAATTACAAGATATTAGTTAAACTAAACGTCATTTTTATTTTGTTTCAAATTGGTATTAATTCCMTCATCGAAAAATGCAAAAAAAATATTACTTTAAAAATAATCAGTATCACAGAAGATAAAATACCAATATATAAAGTTTTTTTGGGTGGTTGGGGGGGGGGGGGGGAAACCCCTTAATTACGTCACTGGTAACCACTAAATTTGTTCCAAAGAAAAGCATCATATTTTGTTAACCAATTTTATTAAAAGGTTTGGATAGGTTTATTTATCTGAGTTAATAGTTTTATCTTAGTTCTGAATACAAAAAATATAAATATAGCTTTGCTATAGGCAACTACTCAAAGAAAATCAGATAGATAAATAAATAAATACTATTTTAATTTTAATTTTAACTGTATGCATATGTATATCATAATAAGTATTAATTACACCTTGAGGCTTTTATTGTATTTTAATACTGTAATGTACSAGTTCTAACTCAGGGAAAACATTGTCACAGGCAAAAATAATAATTATTAATAAATAAATATGTAATACCTTTAGGAGTCTGTCTATTTCATCCAGCATACCATCTACAGCCTGCACGGCAGATGATAGCCGAGCCATGTCAATGTCCAACTGGTCTTCATCGTCTGCAAATGATGATGTTCCGTTGTTTTCATGTCGTTGTTGCAAAATGGCTTGGTAAGCAGCACAACAATTAACTAATTGCTATTTTCCACAAAAATCATAAATAACTGAAATAATAAATAATAGCACAAAGAATGCTTACTTGTGGGAGTTCTGGCACATCATTCTTCTCATTAACACCATCACTGAATTCAGGATTTACGCCTTCATACATTTCTAAGCATTCCAGGTGTAATGTGTCAGAAAATTCAATCAATTGGTCATCTGCTTTCTGGCACAATGATTGCATTTCTGCCTCAAGGTTGCGTTTTTCTGTTCTGTAAAACCAAATTACAAGTGATCCAAAGATATAATTTTGTATTTTAATTATTAGTGCTAGACTATTATTACATACTAATTTAAACTAAACATAACTCACTAATTTATATTAATCTTTGAAACCATTAATACTAAAAATCAAATTACCTAATAAGCTTATAACGATCAATCAATTATAAAATATTTAGTTGAGTTTTTATGTTTTCCTATAAAAGTCAACTATTGAATTAAACATAAAACAATTATATAGGTTTTAAGAGTAAAGCATTTTTGTATTTCATTTCAAATAATCAACACATACATACATAAGTGGATAAGAAAAAATACCTAAATCAAATAAAATGTTACATTTTTATAAATTTTAGATTGCATACAGAATATAAAAAAGCATCTTATGACGATATCATTGATAGATTCATAAATTAATTTTATAAGAAAAGAAGAACTAGTCATAAGAAATTGTTGTAAAAGTGTATATTTTAGTTTTAAGTTGTTGATGAAAAAATTGCATATTCAGTTAGATGTATAGCATTTAGTATCTATTATGTTCTAAAATATAAAATAGATATATCAAATTGGTGTAATATCAAAGACTACTCATCTGTAGCATATGTCTTCAGAAATGGTATAGTAAATATATAAMATTGTTTTGATACTTACAAAATTAAATTAATAACAATTTAAATGTCTTTAATCTACAGTAAAATTGAGTAAAATTATGATCAATATTATGGAATTTTTAAGCACAATTAATTCTTTTAACACAAAAATGGAATTTTTTTTATGACTATAAATATCATCTTATCATATATTATCAATATAAAGTAATTATTAAATATCTAAATTTAATTAAACACTTTAAATGTATAACACATTTTACCTTTAAAATTTTTAATATAAAATTAATATAGAAGCATACTTTTTTTTAGATAATTTTATGGCAATTGAATAATAAAAAATTTAGATTTATCACAAAAAAATTAATAGCCACCTAAAAATTAAATAAATAATTGATCAATAATTTAATTTTTTATTACTACTCAACACTTTTAAAACATTAATAGATTATCTATATTGGAAGAATGAATYATGATTTTGGAGCCAATGGCATCCATTTCTTTCTAACACATAATGTTTATATAGTTCTCTCTGACGCTCTTATATCATTGCTCTTCTACAGATGATTAACATAATTTTAATTTTCAGTGTGAGCAGCTGTAGCTCTTTAATTATTTATTTATTCTCATTTTGAAATATAAAATCACGAAACTCAACATCTATATAGGTACATCAAAAGGAAGCATTATTAATAAATCATGGCGAATCTGCATTTTAAAAGTGCCATGAGAAGGGCCTATTCTAATATTGAAAGCAAGGGAAGTTTTATAAGATTAAAAATTAGCACAGATAAAACTAATTACATGAAAATATCTGCAGTAGATACATAGCAAATAGTACAAGACAATACAGTGAGAATAACTTTGAAGCCATTAATAGTTTTGTGTATCTTGGTTCTGCACTCAATAAAAGTAATAACATGTCCGAAGAAATAAGCAGAAAAATCATGGCCAGCAATTGCTATATTTTGCCAATATCTCACTCTTTAGATCAAGACTGTTATTGAAAGCCACAACGATGAAGTAATATAAAACTCTCATAAAGCTGGAATTGTGCTAGGAACCAAAACTTGGAAATTATCAAATGCAGACAGCAACAAATTAAAATTTTTCATTAAAAAATGGTAAGGAAAATATATGATGCTGTGTTAAGAGTACGTAACAGTGATATTTGTTGTCTCCGTCTTACCAGTGCGTAATATAGCAAATTTACGCTCAGCAGAACACTTGTAGCTCCTTTAGTTTAAAAATTACAGTGAATCGACCTATTATGAAATTTGATGGTAAGAACATTATCTGTGTTTGTACGTTGGTTTTTTACGATAATTCAATTTTTAAGTGAGTTATGAGCATTTTTAATGTACTGTATATTATATGCTCATAACTCACTTAAAAATTTAATTATCATAAAAAACCAATGTACAAACACAGATAATGTTCTTACCATCAAATTTCATAATAGGTYGATTCACTGTAATTTTTAAACTAAAGGAGCTACAAGTGTTYTACTGAATGTAAATTTGCTATATTACGCACTGGTAAGACGGAGACAACAAATACCACGACTGTTACGCACTCTTAAGAAATAACAACAGAATAAAACATATCTTAGAAAAACAAAATATAGTAGGATTCATTAAAGCAAGAAGAATACAATAATTAGGTAATGTACAAAGAATGGACGAGAAAAGAATGCCTAGACAAATAATACATGCAAAAATGGAAGGAACAGGAAGACAAGGACAACCAAGAAGTGGATGGTCGGATAAAGTAAAGAAGTATCTGCAACAGCTGGGCATATAGAATTGGAGAAATGCGACTAAAAACCAGGACGGGTGGAGAAAAATTATTTTGGAAGTCAAGGGTCATCATGATCTGTTGTAGTGCTCAGGATTAGTATTAGTAGTATATACATCAGATTTTAAATAGATTCTATATCCGTGGTTAAAAAATCGAAATATATGATCACAATATATTTAATATTTTATTTGTATTAAATATTATATAATATAATATTAATATTATTATATTTTTATTAAGTTTTGAACACCACTAGATAAACGGGGTATTAAACAACGAATTTAACACAAATTTTGAATTATATATAATATAGAGTTGGTATTTTTAAAAGGCAACAAAGTGCACAGGTATCAACTAGTTTACTTATAAAAATGGATTGGTATTTGGACTAAATGTATGAATAATATGTTTAGTATTTAACTAAAAATTATTTTATACTTCAATAAGTAGTACAGTAACTCATTTAGTAAGTCTATACCTCTAAGAGTAGATTGGTTAAATAATTATTTATTAAAAATCGTAACAAAAACAGAGTATTGTTAACTCAATATGATACCAACCGATACATTGCGGCTCGGTGACGGGTAACTGTTGGCACYAGATCCTTGAATAATGAAGTAGTAGTAACACTAGGTGATTCCTTATTATTAGTGATCAAAACAACAGCTAATAGCTCAGGATCATCAACACCAAATGCCATAGGCTTGACCAGAGATGCACCTTTGACTCTATCCAATTGGCGATGACCACCGGTTTTTGATAAGGTATTTCCCAAACAATCACTATCATCATCATCGGACAGCACAGGCACCACCGGTTCATGATAGATTAGCTCATTTTCTGACTTGGCTGCTCGCCACTTTGCTGCAGCCACATCCATTGCAAACGACAAAGTGTCTCGGCGCATCTCCAATTCCTTTATAAATTAATAGAAAAATGATAATTATTGTTATTATTGTAAGTTTTTAATATTTGATACTAATAAACAACTATAGTAGTAAAAATAACAGTTTTAACAATACAAATACATGGGCACATAGTGTGATGAATTATACAAAATTAAACCAACATTACAAAAACAAGTTTTACAAATGGTAGAAGTGTACTACTATTAATTGTTATATAATACTATAACAGACATGTATATCACCATTGATTAAAGAGCAGTGTTTCCCAACCGGTAGTCCGTGGGCCAGTCATAGGTGGTCCGCGGTACCTTTCTTCGTTTTTATTAAAAATTATTTTTTTTTTAACAGTGAAAAATTTTTTATTTCACTATAATATACGGTTATCTTATCATTGTTTCTGCCGACGACCGATAAGTATTTTCCACTTTTATAAGTGTATAGGTATCAGAGTAATAAATTATACCATTATCGCGACTGATAATGATCATTTCAATTGCAAACATGGTTGCTTATATATTTATACTTTATGAGTTAATGAGCAAAAAAAAAAAAAAGATCTTCCTAGTTTTTTTTTGCGTAAAATTGAGGTGGTCCGACATATAAAATATTGTCGAAGTGGTCCGTGGTGTTAAAAAGGTTGGAAAACACTGGATTAAAGTAAGTAATATCAATGATATTATTAATATATGAGCCCTAAAATAAAAAGTGGTGAGCGTTCAATTAAAAGACACATMATTTTTGAAAAAAGTATGTTTATAATATTTAACATAGGTGCCTAAAATATTGTAGACACTTCTATATTAAATCACTAAGTATAACATTAAATACTATTTTGAATATATTWAAATTTAAAACACACTATATACAAAATATGTACAAAATACTTTTTAACAAGCACTATGATCAGTGGATCTTTTTGTAGATTCATTTTATAGTAACAGTTATTATCAAACAAGATAAATATACCAGTAAAGATTCCTGAATATAAAATAATATTTGTAAATTCTATTGTCGTATACACCGTTTGCTTCTGGCATACATTACTTTAACACACACAATAAATTAAAAGCTAAGACTTCATTTACGACTTGTCAAGATGATCATATCAAGCAATTAGCACTGAAGGATCCACATTTTTACTAATCTTATCAATTATATAGTATATATTATCGCTCAACTTAGTTTCTATTTTGCTACATATGCTAAAACTTAATAACCAAGACTAAATATTGTTACTCGTTAGTCATTACATACATGCTCACTTCACCTAGTTAATAGTTTTAATATCATAATATTATAACAATGCAATTATCAATATTATTAAAATAAAATTTAGAACAGTAATTTTAGAAAAAATACAACACAAATTGAAAATAAATTAAAGGAAGTTACTAATGTTGTTTAGAAAAGGCAAATCAACCATAAACTAGGTACATCTTTGTATTCAGACAAGTTTAAATTATATATTAAGAATTTGATTATAAGACCTACACTTAATATTTATATACTTCTAACAGCAATAAACATAAATTAATAATGGAAAGAATTATAACTACCAAAAGAGACCAAAGAAGTATACAAGTATAAACCTAACAAAAATGTGTAATAAGGAGACAATTTGTAAAATTTGATTTTTACAGAATGATCTATATAGAACCATTTGAGATAAAATCCGCCCTATCTTAAGGGGATGTGCTGTATCTTACATTATTTAATCTAGTTCTTGAGAAATAGTAAGGGATATAAATAAACAATAGAAAATAGACAGAAATGGAGAATCAGTGATATTAGCATACATCAATGATATTTTAGTGTTGAAAAAGACTAGGGAGAAAGTCGTTCAAATAGCCAAGAAACTACTTAGTGAGCATGTCAACAGGAATATGTATAAATAAAATAAAATTAAGAATGTGATGATGTCAAAGAACAACATCAACATACAGAAAATATCAACAGTACGAATAATATGCACCAGGAAGTAAATAAACATGAATGTAAAAGTCGCTATCTATATATATATGTATATAAATGGATTTCTGTCTAATTGTCCTTTATGAATTCCTAAATGGCTGGACTGATTGCGACAAAACCTGGTAAAGAGATATATTAGACCAAAAGATAGACAGAGCTAAAACGTCATAGGCCCAACCCTGGGAGATGCTCAGATATTTTGAGATTTTTGATGGAAATTTTTGTTTGTTTATAAATGGTTGCTAATTATTATTATATAACATATATCCCAGATTTATTGTTAACTATGCACTTAATATTTTTGTWATAATAACACCATCGGTAGTTGTAAGTCTCAAGCACGAAAGAAAATGGAAATACGAGCCTCTGAAACTAGAGCATTACCTACATTGTTCTACAGAGATGTGCAAAATTATGAGTGTTGAATCAGACGACAATAGTGAAAAAAAAAAATAGTTCTACCCAAGCGGAATTCTATAGTTGTAATAAATGCATGTAGTATGAAGAACATGTACAAAGTAATCCACAACAACAATTTGGCTTCAGTATTTTCAGTGCTACATACAGAAATTTGAAAATTGGACTGATCCCCTCAAATTCAAGTGCATTGACAGAGAGGGTTTTATCAAAACCCAAAATCTTCAAGTCTAGATTAAAAACAACTATGACACAAAATAGACTAGAAGAATTGCTGATAATTAGTTATGAAAGAGATATTTCAGAAGTTTTTGATCATGATAAATGATAATATATTTAAAAGTTTTGCTGAAGCAAGTTCTCTGCTAACTAAATATTTGGTGTGAATAAGTCAATTAATTTATTATATTATTATTAAAATCCAACAATTTTTTTAGGTATATTAAATTAATATAGGTAGTACCTATAAAATACAAATGTACTTATGAGTGAGTTTCGGGTAACATAAAAATTTAAATTATTTGTTAGGTACTAAATTGTAAACCGGGGTGATAGGTTTGGTAGGTGGGTAATTAAATTCAAAATCTGAAATACCTTTATCTTGTTTGATAGCCGCAACTTGCTATTTGTAACCAATAGTAACATACAGAGGACAGAGCTGGATCAATGAAATTAGTGGCCCTGGGCTAATTTATTTATGGGGCACTAATTTTACAAAAAAGTATTTTTATAATAATATGCCAATTGATATATATCAGTTAAATAGGAAAAAMATTTTTCTCAGACACCAAATTTACATTACATAGTTAATTTTTTAAATGTTAAATTATAAAATATATGGTAATAACACAAAAATACRAACAAATGATTATTTAAAAAAAATTTTCTAGATGTACTTGTTGCAAAAGTATCTAAAACATCATCAAAATCATGTTTTTTACATATGTCATTTTTAATTGACATAATTGTTGATGCATTCAACTTATCTTTAATCTGTGTAGATCTTAGTCGATTTTTAATTAGAGCCAATTTTGAGAATGAACGTTCTGCTTCACAATTTGTCAAGTTGTTAGTTAGTTAGTTTGTTGTCAGTTGTTCAAACCCATTGGTTGGGTTAACTGAACACTACAATTCTTCCCGTAGGTGCTTTTTAGTAAGTTTGTAGCTCCAAGTGACCTTATATTATAAATCAGATTTATGTGTCTCTATAAATACTCAATTGTTTGTCTTTGAGCACCTGTATGCACGTTTATAAAGTTCTAGCTATGGTTAACAGTTTGGTGAAGAAAAYTGTGATATTTTAAAGTGATGTATACTTTCTACTCATCTGAATGAATTGTTAATTGATGAAGCATATACAAATACAATTATAAGAATAGTTGTTAATATACTAAAAATATAATGAGAAAATGAGTAGATAACTTGAATAATGTAGATAGAATAGGATATTAATAAATTTACTGTAAATAGCTATCTATAGTTTTATACTATAGCATACGACACAAGTATTATTAAATATAAGTTAACAAAACACCCACACATGTGATTGGTGATTCTGAAGAATCTGACAGTTTTACTAAATTACTTGACTTCCACAAATATTAAAATATTTGCCTTTTAATTGAACAGTTCACAATATTGGTAGTTGATATTGTTAATTTATTTTTTTCTTAACTAACAATTGTTACTATACTTTTTTTGCTAATAATAAGTGTATGTTATGTTATATTATACCAGTTATACGAATTTATAAATCCAGGTTATCATTTTAATAATTTATTTCTTGAATAGTCTTACTTTAGCAGCCGCAGATTGACCAGCACCTTGATGTCCATGCTCTGATTGTAAGTAATAGTAGTAGTCATCGTCTGACGAATCTTCATCTTTTGACATTGAAGTTGCCATCTTACCACCGTTCTCTGATATCAAACCAGCCCGACCCAATAGATTCACTGCTCGCCTGTAATATGACACACGGGTCCCCATTTGCTGCAGCTGATCCTGGACATGTTGACCCTGGAATAGGGCAGTTACAGCACCATAATATCGACACTTGAATTCTGAGTATAGTCGCCACTTCTATAACACATTAAATAATAGTTTGTCAATAACAAAAAAAACACTCTCAAGCACCTAGTAGTAGTCGAGAATGACCACAGAGTTAATACTAAAACCTTTCTCACCTCAAGCCTGCTACTGCTTACACAATAAGGTTCACGTTCTACTCTTTGAACTGCATCCACTGCTCCAGCAAAATACTCACATATCATAGCTGATACTTTAGCTAGATTGATAATAAAAATATCAAAAAGTTAATACCAATAATAATAATATAATAGTATACTCTGTTATAATTAAATAGAAGCTACATTACAGTTTTTAAATTGGCTAACTTTTGGTAAATATTAATTCATGGAATAATTGTAGCAAAAATTAATGTTAAACAATCATTTGTTTTTTTCAAACGATTCAGAATGTAGTATTTTAAATATAAGAAAAAAAATTTATTTATTGGTTAAAATATTTTAATTTTTACATATTTTTTTTTTTATGTAAATCCTTCTCAGTTAATCTATATAGATAAACAGTAATTAATAGGGTTAGGATGTTTATGACCTTAAAAATACTAAAAAATGCATGCAAATATGCACAATAAATATCAAAATATGCTCTTAAAAAAAATTAAACATGACATTTTAAAATTTTATTTCTAATCCGAAATAATTAATTTACAACTTTTTTATAACTTTAAACTTAAATACAAATATATAAAAATATGATATTTTGAAATTGAAAACATGTAAGTAATAAAGATAAGTTGATTATATACTACGGGTTTCATATTTTCTCATTTTCGTTAAATGTTGACTGTGCCTACCTATGGGTTTTTATTGAGGTTTATATTGTATTTAAGTTATTTTTTGGMGAAATATGYATTTATTTACTATAGTTTTGGCCAAATATGCATTTATTTACAATTTTTTTCAAAATATGCATTTATTCATAAAAATCCCTAAACATGCAAAAATATGCAAAATAAAATTGAATGTATCTGATTCTATGCCGCACAAAACAAATTTATAACTTGGTCTGCAAAGTGCACGACTAAAAGAAAAAAATATGCAAAAGTCATAAACATCCTAACCCTAGTAATTAAATTATTCATTTAACATTTATTTCAAAAAWTGATTTAATTTACTTGTTAATGTTTTTGTGAAATTATTAGGTACGTCTATCATATTTGAGGATGATAGTCACAAGTTTCATACACAAATATATATTTAAATTACACATACAATGCCTATAAAGTAACATATTTACAATAGAGCATGTAACATGAAGACCTGAGAATTTTTATTCTTATGAACATTTAAAATTTTTTTTTAATTTAATTTATTGACTAGCACACTTCATGTATAATATACTCTATTCTATGAGAAATTTATAACTTATTGTGAATCACAAATGAATCGATTCTTACATCAAGCACTATTTGATCATGCTAACACCAGGCAATTGGTGGGAAATTTGTAGCACTGAAAAGAATGGATCAGCATACTGATTGTTCTCTTGTAGATTAGACTGTAGTACAACATTTTTTTTATTTTCATGATATTTTAACATTAAAAATAAAAAATTTTAAGTAGTMAATTTGTATATCTGGTTTTAGAATAGTAAAATATTGATTGAAACACATTTATTTAAATCATGTTATATATTTTTACTATTTTTGAATCTTATTATTATGTTGTTAAATTTAATTGATCCAATAGTCGAAAATATTTTAAATTCAAAAATAAAAACTTTTTTTAAAGTTATTACTCTTTAATCAATGACTACTTCAAAAAATGTTGACTTGACAAAATAAACCACCTAACATAGATAAATTTTTTTACAGTCAATTTCTCTAAAAGCAGATTTACAAATTTGCTACTTTGAATTTTAAAGAAAAATTTAAATTTTTATTTTCAGTATTAAAAAAAAAAAAAAATGTTATACTGTACAAGTAACGCAAACACAAATTAACTGTATTATTTTTAAAAAATAACTACTGATTAGCAAAAATTACTTAATTTGCCAGTATACAGCTTCTTGAAAATTGGTATACTGGCTCACTTCAATTGTATTATTTTATAAGATATAGAATTTAATTGTACATTATTATTGTCAATACCTATTATTAGAGATTTTCGRCCATCCATCATACTTTTTTCCAGTATGCACTCCTGTGCTTGTGCTAATGTCACATTGTATGCGAATTCAAGAACTGCACGACTTGTAACTTGTGGCTGCTGCCGATGGTTCCACTTTGTTTGTTCATTATTGGAACCATCACCACCAAGCAATTGCTKTAAATAAAACAGATACAATACAATATATATATATAAGCACATAACACATCCAGATTAGGTACTCAAATCTTTTGGATATGTGATTGAGCAAAATACCTGAAAAGCCCATGCAGCACACTGCAAGTGTGTACAAGCTATCTTGAGGGCATTGTTTGATGGAATTTCTGCATCAATTGTAGTTGGCGTACTGGAAGATACTAATGGTGGTGACCTGTCCTGCGCTGCAGCCAATCGACTATAAGCTGCGCCTATATTGTACAACACACACCTCATCTCATAACCAATGTTGCCGCTATCTACTACTGCTGTGGAGTCTATATCGTTTTTCATTTGATGTTGTAGGTTTGTTTTACCACCAAGAGCTCGTTTCCTAAACATTAAATAAACAGTAAGAGGTATTAAGACAGTAAGATGAAATCATATGTCATAAACAAAATACATAAGTACTTTAAGTCAAGACAGCAGCAATAAATGTCTATTTATAACAATTAACTATAAAATACATTAAATTTACTCGTAATAACTTTTGAATAGATATTATAATATATAATATAATATCATATAATATAATAGATTAAAGATACTCACCATTTAAAAATCAGTGGTTTTGGTTCTTTAGCTGTTGTAACCTCTATGTCATCAGAAGATTCTTTTAGCCCAATACTTTGTTGCTCTATCAGTTTAGGAAACTTATCCGTTAATCGAACAAGGTGTGCATAATAACGTTTTAATGCTGTGCACTCTTCTACAGTGCAAACAGATGACATCACAACGTCAACAGCAGATTGTCTAAGTGCGAGTAATGTGTCTATGTCAGCTGAATACAAACTGGGATCTCGGTCATATGATTTTTGTATTTGCTGCATAAAATATTAATTATAAATTATATATACTTCCAATAGCTCATAAAGTAAAAATATTATATATGCAATAATACAGTTTTCTATAAATTCTGAAATTAGAATGAATTGACATGGTTATAATTTATAAAGTGTAAAGCTGAAATGATTGAGGACATCTCTAAGGTTTTTATTTTTATTTTGAAAATATTCATACTTTAAATTTTACTCTCATTTATAAATACCATTGTAAAATTATTGAGGTAAAATTAGATAATACGATGTATTTTTAAAATAAATACAATATATTGGGTTGTGATGTCCTCTTAACGAATGACCATAATTTTTTAGCTTTTATTACTTAAGTATTTGTATTAAATTGATTAAAGTGCTAGGTGTATGTTATTATCAAATTATTAGTAAACCGAACTTTTAACTAAAAGTATGAACCTATTCAAACATTTTCAAAGAATATACAAATATTATTTCTTTCAGCTTCAATATACTACTAGCATGTTGATACATTCCAATATTATAAAATATAGCAGTATATTGAACCCAGAATATTTAAGACTTTTTTCTCAATTATAATATTATGTACATATAATTTAATATTTACATGATTTAAAGCAGATGAAAAATCAGGCGTCTGGTTGTTAACACACCGTTTGGCTGGCAAGCCAATCATATACAATCGTGGAACACCTTCCATTTCGGTTCAATTGCTCGTTAGTTTACTAAAAATACTGTTTTGTTAGTTGTAAGTATTCTTCATGTGTCTAACCTTTTATGTATACTCTTACCACTGTAACTGGATCACCTAAAGGTACTCAGTAAAAGTAGTAGAAGTAGTAGTGATGATTAAGGTAATAGCACMTAGGTCGACAGTTAAAATTCATCGAAGTTAATAACAGCAGCAGAAGGTTCCCGTTACAAACATTAACAGTTACAACCCCAAAATCACTTGATTGCCACAGTCCTAGAACAATATTTTGAAAATTATACATTTTATAACAATTATTGTAACAGACTGTTCTGCAAAAAAAAAAACAAAACACTTATAGCAACAAGTACATCCGTATTTGCACTAAGTCACCACCGCCGTCCAACTTCAACAACATCAATTCTGACCACATAAAACAGAGGCCAGGGATATCATATTCACATGCAATCGAGTGTTACTCGACGAAACTCGCCTTCTTAGTACTTACCAGTATACAGAACGACAGTACGCTAGGCCGCACCCATCTCTCTTCTGGATTACCGATAGTTCAAGACACCAAGAAGGAGGAAAGCGACCAACCACCGTGAATAGCGAACGAAACAACTACAACGATCGGTAAAGTTAAAATCCAGTAATCGTTTGTTGGCGACGGGACGCAGGCAATGTGAAACAAGACGTGTCARTCGATCAAACAGACGTCGCAATAATTATTGTAAATTTGTATAATATTATAGACAACTAGAAAATCATTTGTGATGTCAACGACGACGGCGGATTAACACCACCACGGTTGCAACTCGTCCAGTGGCTGCCGTTACCACATCGATTAGCCGATTACGTTATCACTGCGGTCTGCGATAACGCACGATCGTGAACATTGAACAAAATATTGTTTTATTCGCTTATTAATTATTGCTCATGCGCACGGTAGTTGRGTACTCGGAATCGGGATTTATTATACTTCGTCACTGCGATAACAGCTTTCTTTAATTCTATCGGATGAACGGATCTATGTCGACATCCAAAACTACCTCCACCCATTTCCGTATGATAACATATTTTTTGTTGAATTCAGTTAGGTATCACCATGGCTTAAAATTAATATTTATTAATATAATCATAATATTATAAAATAAATCATTACGTAATACGTACCACATCGAGTTCAATGCTTCCAACTCGACATAAAGTTGCGCATGAGTAAGTGAGAAACAACAGAAACACGAGCACCCGTTAGCCATTAGRTATAATGCTGCAGTGTGTAGAATTGTATTAAACTCTACCCCCACTACAGAAACTACGTTTTGTTCGAGTTTTGAATTATTTGTTCTATACTAAACTGTTAAACCACTAAATAAATAGCTATGTAGACGTCATTCACGATCAAACATTTGAAATAAGTTATTATTMAACAAATATTTCTTTCGTTTTCAAGAAATAATTTACCTAATAATGTTTGATTTAAACCAACAAAAAATATTCAATAGTTACCTATATAAGTAACTGTGTGAGGTTCACTGTCCTCATACTTTATTTTATCATCAAAAAATGTCTTAAACTCCAGCTAAGTTAAATCAAATAACAGTTAAATTCCTATAGTTACGCTTATTCCAAGAYTCAAGAGAGCCATTCATATTTTTTATAATTTTTTCCTATACTACATACGTATATTGTGAYAGAATTTAATTGCTTAAATTAAATATGTTCGTTTTTACCTAGTGATTCAAAAAAAAAAAATTGAAAAACTATGTTTGTGTCTTCTTTATATCGATTAAATACAGTGAAAACTCTTTATAACGAACCTCGTTATRACGAAAAACTCTATATTACGTAAATATTAAATAAMATTAAGTTAACTTATAGTGGTTGGTTTGATTTAAAACCTATTAATATTACTCTCTATTACGAAAACTCTCAATAACGAAAGAAATCACATGGTCCCTTCAGATTCATTATAGAGAGTTTTCACTGTATTAAATAAAATTCCATCATATYCATTTCAATAAATATAGATTTTCTAAAATATAATATTAATTTTAAATCCCTCTATATATTAGACTATCGAATTTCTAGAATAGGTATAGTAATTTAATATACTACACGTCTACACTACTGCAGAATAAYTTGTTTTAATAACATTATTATTTTAGTTTAACTAAATTTTATTATTTAAATTGATGTTAAAATAAAATATAGATAAATAATAATGTACTGTGTTCTACATGGATATCCGATGACCGCAATGTAACATTAGACTAGAATGACTAGATAGTAAAATATTAATAATGCCAATAATGCTGTAGTTACTCTGTTAGTTTCATTAATGCGAGTGTTTGATATTTCGGTGTCCATAGTTTATACAGTATTGATACGAGCCATATTAATATTATGATTAATGCCATAATATTGCCATTTTTTTTTTTTAGAAATTAGAACGTATGTCCATATAATGTTAAACAGGTTTAGTGGTGACATGTTAAGTAATTATACAAATTTAGTGGTTGATAATATTACAATTAAAAAAAAAACTCCGCAGTGTCACACACTTCTAAGAAATATATTGAGCATTGAGCAAATGAAAACCAATTGACTTGGGACATACAGTTTTTCAGAGGCAGATTATAATACATTTTTTATTGGAAACCACTTGGAAAATTGGAACTTTGCAATTTTTTTTTTTTAAACGTGTAAAAAATTAATTAATAAATAATAATTATTATACCTATGTTGGTAAAGAGTAGACAGGTCGCTAATCGCTATTATACGGTGCTTGTAACRTATGAACTTTATCATTTTGTAAATATGTACCTACATTATTAACATTAACAACATTACATAACATTATTAATTAATATATAATTAATATGTATTTATTGATTGATTAGGTATTTTATTTCAATAACATTTTTAATGGCACAGAAATATTGCGGAATGCGGATTGATACCTARTTTAGATTGATAGTGCCGTAGCGCTGGGCGGTCGATAATGATCCGTAGGTACTCACTACTCCGTATATTCCTTAGGACATAGAACATAGGACATATTGTTAGGACTGTTAGGTAAACATTATACAAGATATAGATATCTGGATAAAATTACAAGACATTTTTACCATATTTTAGTATAGCAAATACACTGTTAATAAGTACCTATAAATTATAATAGTACAAGCCTCATTTATTTTTGAAAACTGACATCGGTGGACGATGCTACTGAATACTTTTGACTAAAAGATAGGTAAGTATAAGGTACACCTGATACAAGTTTCTCATTGTCAAGTTTTTTTTTTACCAAGTTTTGTACCTACTTTTTAAATTTAAAAATGTATTTTTATCAAAATAATAATAGTAGTTAGATATAAAAAACAGAAATTATCATAAGAAAAATCAAAAATATTATTTTCAAATTCTATTTGAAGATCTACACGACCAAACAACAACAAATTGTTGACTAAGGACCTGTTCACAAAAAAATTGAARAGGTTGCAACTTCAGTAGCTCTAACGAGTTGGTTAATCGGGTTTTTTTTTTATTAGGTACCTACATTTTAGTTGAATCACACGGCATAGTCAAATGAAATAACACAATGTTTTATGAAAATGAAATGTTTACGGAAAGTTAAAAAAAAAAATACTACTTTGGAGACAGAATTACATTTTTCTTATCCATTATAAAATTAAACGCTGTTTTCAAAACGTAGTCAAATACTAAGTCTCCTGGATTAACAAGTTCCTATTATATTCATATACTCAGTCAGTATTCTGTAGTATTCAGTACTAAGTAATATGGAGGACGAATATATGGAGCATGGAGGCAAATATGGAGAGGGGCTTGGTGGACCTCCCAAAATTCTGATAAATGAAAATGAAATATGTTTTCTTCTGTAGTTATGAATTTGACCCCAATAAATATTATTTAAAAATATATTGTACAGTATTTTTTGATARTAGAGATACTTGATAATAATAATATATCATTGAATAGAATATAAATACACCAACCACCGACAGTAAAAATTAAAAAACATTATTGCGTTATGTTTCCTGTTCCTGTACACATAATGGTTATAGTATAATATGACTAGACAAGTGCAATATTTTAGTAGCGACTTATAAATTATTAATATTATATTAAACTTAATCTATGAGTTATGGCCATTATAATATGTGTATTTGCAAACTTAATATTTTACTTCGTTTGCTTATAATAGATACTAGATAGACATACATAAAAATATAAATAATTATTATTATGTGACGCGCTGTCGTCTGAAGGTAATACTCTGGACTCTCCAGCTACCCATACAAGTCAATTTTCCGGCAGAACTGATGTCAACCAAATTCTGAGTAGGGAGTGAACCAATTGCATATTACGTATATCTACTTCAAATCAAAAAAAAAAAATGCGAAATTTTGTTGATGTGGGTCAACGAGCTTTGAAAACATACGTATAAAACTATAAATGTAATTAAGGAARTATATTTCTATTCAAAAAGTGATTTAGTGATTGGAATAATGCCGTATTTTTTATTGATTAGACATATTTTGCATGCTTCGTGCACATGCGAGACCTACTACTTGATAAGAGCGTGATGGTCTGTAACCCGTACACACACTAACATTAATTTAGTTTGCAGTTTTGTATATATGATAAACAACCTTCCTAAAAACATGACTGACTAGAACCCTGCTATATTTTTTTCTTTTCATAATAATAACTATCATATATTAAAATAGGTAGGTACCTAATAAGAAATAATAATATATGATCAACGAAAATTCAGYAAATTGTATGTATAAAAATTAAAATTAACAAAATTAAAMAGTTCCTTCAACACAAATTAAAGAGTTCAATTTTTAAATGAACTCTCCAAGGTCTAATAAGATGTGTAATATGTAAATGGTTTGGCCATATGTCGATGGAACATAAATTAACATTATATATAACATAGGTAGTATTCACATAATAATAATAATATGCTCTTAATATTACATATTTGGATTATTAATCTAAAACCATTTGTTAGCAAGAATTTTGCATGTATAACTATAATATTTAAACTTGGCCATGATTATTAAAGAACCTCTGCGGATCTGTCCACTGATATACTATTTAATATTTTTTACATGTTCAGTTACACGAGATAACCCAAAGAGAGATTTTAGGAGTGAAATGTAACTTATCAGTAGGGCCCAGATTTATATGCTCAAAATAAATTAAATCGAATGAAAATTATTATGTGCACTCRGATCACGAAGAAACAAACACGACTAAARGTCTTCACACACTGCAGTGGTAGCGGCAGCGGCAAAATGATACCTGACATATTATACCTCAACTGCGGTGGCACCGCYAAGACAACAGAATTTTATACCTACYGCTGCAGTGTGTGGCGACCTTAATGTATGATTCACCAAAACTTACCTAAAATAGATCACCATTTGTCCCAATGGGTCTCAGATAAAATACGAAAACCACTTMGTCAAATTACATGGACTATAAATATAACTATAAATCATTATTYTAGTTAATATAAGTAAAATCTTACATATAGGTATGCTCCAGACATACTATATGGCGTTCCCGTATGTTTCAATATCATTTGTGGCAATCATACAATTTTAGGAAATCCTGGCTCACATTATGTTAAAGTTAAGTAATCATATATTATAAGTAGATCTCAAAATTAAAAAAAAATATTTTATGTAGCACGCACAGGTTGCAAAGCATAAATAGTGTAGCAGAGCATAGGCAAAACTACAGGTCAGGCCCCTAAGGCCCTATATGACCTAATACTAAACTGGATAACATGCTGAGAAGATAAAATTTAAAATTTAAATTTAAAAACCTTAATTTGTAATTATAATATTATTTTTTTCATAATCATCATTTGGCCTGTTCAAATAAAAGTTTCTAATTTCCCCTATGTATCAGTGAAAATATTAATTAATATTATCATCAGACAAAAGTTGATGTGTTCTACATTAATTTGTTGACATGACTTAAATATTATCATTATCTAAAAAACCGAGAAACAATAATTATTGTTTTGTAAATTCAATTAATTGTAGTATTTTATATCTGAATTGTAAGTGTGACATTTTCGAAAATGTTAACACGAGGCCTAAAAAATTCACAGAAAAATTCTTGAATGAAATTCTTCATTCATTACATTTTTAATGACACAAATAAGAAAAATAAATGTATTATGTTTTTTATAATATAAAGATTAAATATTTTTATTTAAAAAATGAGGTACAGATAACCTAATATAATTGTCATTAAAWRTATAACATAAATATATATGTATTATAATATATGTATACCACAAACTAAGACTATAAATGGACTGAAACGACATCGTTGACATTTATTTTTGTGATGACAGATTACATTTGTCATGGACATTTTTTGAGTGAAGGAATCTAAGAAATAGTTTCTTGTACRAACATGGTGGTTTAAGATCTTCATTATTATTATTATTGTTACTGTACAACATACATCTTAGTATATGATTCTTATAGAAAAATAATCTATATGGTCTTAATTTGTAGTATGACACATAAAAATATATTTCAAGAATAAAATAAAATATGGCTATAAAAATTAAAAGTTACATTACTTGTTTATTAAATAACCAGTTATTAGAATTATAGTAAATATAAATACATAATTTCAATAATATTATCACAATAGAATATTTTGCTAGATGGTAAAATATTTATAATTGCATTTTGTCTTGATAGTCTTCTTTCTCCTGTTATACTAAATACCACTCAATTATAAACCACTACAGAATCAGTATAGTTCTAGTTGTTTTTAGTCTAACCATCCAATTATGCACTCGCGTAGAACCTTTTCATTTCGGTGCCACTCATGATGACTGACTCCTGGCACAGTGTACTCTATCAATCGACCCGTCATGTCTAGTTGATGTAATCCAATTGGATCGTTATYGCTGTACACGTCGTCTTGTCGCCGCTCTCGCATTGGTATCAGTCCACCAGAACTATTCAGAACAGCAAATTGACTGTAAAAGTAAAATTAGTAAATAAAAAACAATTACACAGTTTTTATATAAACTGCAGTTTGTTCAAAATGAGATTGGTACAGAGTAGCGACCAGTTTTTGTCGTCGTAGCGCAGGTTAGGTTAGGTGATGCTCTTGTCAGCGGTGTTGCATCAAGCCATTCTAAGAAACAAAGTCATGCCCATGGGCAGCAGGTGGCTGACTATACCGATCTCATTTTTAACAGAATGTAAATAATAAGTAGTAGGTACCTGGATTGCCAAGGTGAAATAACCCCATCGTCAGGCCCGCCAATCAATACCAGCCGCTGCAGTCGAGTCAGGCCCAGTTTTTTGATGTTGGGATTACAGTTAAAATTACCATTTTCTGCACAATAGTTATCATGGGCTGAAACATTAGCCATAAGTGTATCTACGTCTGCTGTAACATTGTTAGCATCACTGTTGTTATCGTTATGGCTTTCAGCAATTTTCACAGTAGCAGCAGCAACTGCTGCTATCGCTGTAGCAACACGTGCTTCAATAAWTTTTGGAGTGTCATCATTAGTCTCTACTACAGTTGTAGTGCTACTAGTTACTGGAGTAGACTTATTGACAGTCATCCTTTTAAAATCATTATCATATTCAGTCTGTTGTACATTAAAACCACTTGATTCTTGTTGTTTAACATTATCAATGACTGCAAGATACACACTGTACTTAAGGTATAGATCCCTATGCCTGGGATCATACCAAAAGTTGGCTACAGAYAGAGCTCGTTGACCCAAACGTGTGTAGAACAACTCATATGCCGTCCGCGCTGTCAGGGCAGGAAACATTTTTGTGAAACATTCGGCTATAACATTAAAGTATAGAAATAATTATAAATTAATATTATTTTGCTATACAAATAAATATATTATACTAAAAACACTATTAATTCGACATTTTTCAAGCAATTTTAGTTTACACAAGTAAGAAAAAACATACTTTTTGCATGAACCTACCATATTTTGAATTTATGAATTTTTTGTATAGTGTTTAGCATAATCAAAGTTAAATACATGTTTAAGTGTTCAATCAATTAGGTTATAATTAGGGAACGGATTTTAATGCCATGAAAAATAATAAAAATGTCCTAAAAAATGTGACTTGATGCTTTAAAAGAATGATGTAATATTAAAAAAAATGTACTAAAAATGCCCCAAAAAATTCTTAAAATGTTTTTAAATTCAATAAAAACACAATTTTGAACTTAAAACTCATAAAAAAACATATTGAGTTAACTCAATAGTGCAATACAAAATTACAATTAAGATAAATAGCTTATATTATCTTTACCTAATTGCATGTAGTATGTTGTAATTTGTATGTATATATATATATATATATACACATATCAACAATAATTTTGTCTGGAGTCAGGGTTTATCTGATACGGTAAAAACATAACAAATATTTATTATTTTTTTTAAATGAATGTTAATCTACATTTTTATAAAATTTTATCCATTCCTACATGAAAATTTAAAAAAATTAAAAACATACAAATGCACTAAAAATGTCAAAAATACTCTAAAAATGTAACAGTCTTAAAAATGCAAAATAAAAGTTAAATTTTTGAATTCCGTGATGTATTAAATGAACTTTGTGCTTGGAGCACAATGTTTTTGGACATACAGAAAAAAATATGATTTACATTCAAATCCATTACCTAGTTATAATATATTATATGCCTAATTAAATATATTTTAATATACAGCCTACTATAATATTTGTAAATTGTAGCAACTTGCATAAAGAGTTSAATAATTGTATTATTAGTGTAATATGTAATTTGTAGATCTAAAAATAGTAAAATGTCAGCAAACTGCTTATGAATTGACTCCAACATATAATGGTAGACCACTGCATTCTCACAAGATAGTGATTGAATTGGGAAAAAAATAAAGGTGGACTCAATAAAGTTGAACAAATTAGCGTTCCGAATCAAATTAATCTAATAGTAATTCTAGCTATTCTCTAATGAATATAATAAAGGGATACGCTATAATATGAAGAAAATGAAGAGTAGCTCAGTCCTCCTGCATCCTCCATTCCTCCCGCAATTCAATCACTGMCACAAGATAAACAAATTAGCATAATTAAAAAATATATACTGGAAATAACTTTTGAACGCCCCTATGTATATATTTWAAAAAAACACCTACCTCCATATTGGCCTCCTTGCGGTGAACTAAGTGATACAAATGTCCTGACATTGTGCTCAGTGCCATACTCTTCTATCATACCCCTTGATATGAGACCGCCTTGTGAATATCCTAAGAAATTTAAGTATAAATGAATACATTTTGAAGCTACATTTGTAGTATATAAACATATACCTATTTATATGTACATTTATATCTACCTATAACATGCACACCCTCTGGATGCAATGARCATATTTTTAATAGGTCATCGCCTAACTTCTTTGTCTGACGCCACAGTGGTTCCAAACTAGCCAAACCACAGAATCTGTCTATAACATATGTTTTGGTGCCTGGATGTAACTGTTAAGCATACATAAATAAAATGTTATTTACATTGATAGGCAAATTTTCAATAAAATTATTACAATAAGATAACATTATTTTAATAATTTATATCAAGTATTTTAGTAAAAATGTATTACTCTTTTYTAAGAATAGAAGTATTTTTAAAATGTAAAATTTTAACTAAAAGRAAAAAAAATACAATTATGCATGATTTTGAACAGTATAATTATTTATAAAAATTATACACATAAATGAATACTTGAAATATTATGTTTTTCTTATAAGACATATCAAATATAAACATTAAATTATATTATATAAGATGAATACCTATCCAATTTTAATTTAACAGATATAAATACTGATTACAATGGTATAATTTTTTAATTTTTTAATTTATATTAAATATTTGAAAAATACAGTTTTAATGTACATATTCCAGGAATACTTAAGCGCATTAATGAAACTAGCAAATTTAGAAAAATAATAGYATTTGAAATAATTTTAAAAGTAATTTACTTATTTATAATACACCATGTCGAGCTATTAATAACCAAATACTGAATACTAACAGTCTACATTAATGGACAGTACCCATTACTAGTTAATTATCATTTATCATGTATCTAAATGAGTATAGAGTATATTATCAAATAAGGACATTTATCAAGCTACTCACTTCAGCTATACGAGCAGCCAGATGCTGCATTGTGCTGACATCACCAGTCATCAGTCCATGTACAATTACTACAGGCCTGTACGGCCGCTTTTTCYCTAACGTATTTTCGCATTCATCCAACTTGCTCATTGTCATCTGAATCGTTCAATGTGTTGCAATGTCACCGCTAGCCGCTAGGCCACTACTATTTCCGGTAATATACTAACTATATATACTTTATATACTTTATACACTAACTATATAAATACACGAAGAAGAAAAGCAGAATGGTTTACAACATGGACTTCTGATGCACTAACAAAGAACATGCACCAACTAGGAACTAAAAAGTGACTTAAAACACGACAACAATGTCAACTATGTTGAGAAACGCTTGACATTAATCACGGCMTACGACATACGTATATAYATTATAATTTTCCTGGTGTTCAGGTTATTTAACTAGTAACTACACCAGACAGTAGACAACTAGTAATTAGTTAGTGCTTAGTTACCTACTTATACAGTAGACAGTAGACCACCGATTATTGAAGTAGTGACAGACGACAGTGACAATAGTTTAGTTATCATTATTCTGACAAAAATGTTGATAACTTTTCGGCGGCCACCGCACAGAATTGCGTAATCTTAGTTGCCTATGTTCACCGAACAAAGGCGTTCGTACTAATAACGTATAATGTTATATTATTTTATAATAATATAGTTGGAAATAATAATTTTTAGTATTGAAATCTGAATAAAAATAACTAAATAATTAGTTARTTATTGACACGATTTAAGGGGGGTTGAGCTTGTCATGTTCTTAGGAGTAATATTTAGGCAATTCATACGACATGTACTACATTCAGGCTATTTCTAGGTATAAGTAGTAAAAGAACATTAGTGTGTTTCCGAGATTCAAAAATTATTGTCACTCCGCGTAGGGAAACTACCGCCGCCCAGCCAGTCACATGCACATGCACATTTCTTTTCATCATTTTTTTCTCAGTAGCCTTTGAATTAAAAACATTGATATTATTGGATATTCAAACTGATAATAACGATTTTTCTTTTAAAATTTTTTGCTATTTTGTTGTAGCTTAATAAAATAAATATTAAACGTTGAAACATGAAACTTGAAATTAATACATAAGTAGATAAATAATTATTCTTACACATAAAGAAACTATTGAAACTACTAATATATGAAACCAATTATATAAAAAACTAGCAGACCAGAATAGCTGTATTACCATGTACACCTACGTCTAGTTTAGGCCTTACAATATGAGTTTTAACATGAATAATAATAATTAAAAGTATCTATTCATAGTCATATTCCAAATATTCATAATTTTATGATAATATAAATAGAAACGGTATGAAAGATAGGTAGTTATTTTCTACAAATGAAAACTCTAAGTTCTAACAATAAAAACTTCTTTAAAAAAAAAAAAACTGAAAAAATGTAGTTAAAATAATAATACAAATCAAACCAATGCCAATCAAGAATAATATGAATAGAATTTTCACATGAGTATGATTTGATATAAATCATAATCAACTCATACTTAATTATATGGGGTATCTAAATTATTTTTTTGTTTTAATATAGGTGATTATTAGGGTCCAGAACTTGATGATCTAAAAATATATACAAAGTGTTAACAAAATTACCTTAAAAATGTATACTTATCTGTAAAAATTTATAAATGTTGTTTTGATATTAAAATTATTACATTAAATTATATTATTATTTATTATTAAACTAAATAAAACTATACATTAAAAAATATTTTTTTTAGTAAAATTTCTTTTTTTGTTGAATTTCTTTTTTTCGTGACAAAACAAAAAAAGATAATGAACATTGATAATCGAAAAGTTAATAGAAACTGTATATGTAACTTTCAATAAGTAAAAAGCAAATATATGTGAAAAAAAGTGTAAAATGAATAAAATGCACCAAAATACCAAAAAATGACTATAAAGCATAAAATTCCCTAAAAATGCAAAATAAAAATTGTACCATTAAATTCTATACTTCATGAATCAAATTTCTGTATAGATGAGCATTTAATGTGAGCATTAGAAAAAAAGATGCAAATGCATCAAGTTCCGGGCCCTAGTAATAATAGTTTTTAGACCATTAAAAAAAAAAATTATAACAGTTATTGATGGCCAAAACAAACTTAATTTTAATATTGAAAATCATAAAACATTAAACTTAATACCTAAAGCTTAAAAATCTATTACCCACAAAATTCCTCAACTTAATCTTACTTTTTATTGAGTAACATTATTATTAAAACATGTGCTATAAGCATAAAATTAATCATTATTATTAACCATGTCAACAAATATAAATAACAGTGGATCTAATTTAGAATACAAATTATGCGTGATTCATGCAAATAAACTTATTCAGTCTTCAGTTTATTTCTAAGATACCTCATACCTATTATGTTATAAAATRAAATAATATTAAATGCTAAAGATGCAGCTTATTGKGGTGGGGTTGCACCTTGTACCAATTTATATGTTCTGACAATATATGGTATCATGTAAAATAAATAATAATACACTATTTGTAACCAGAACTGTTATATACTATTTAATTATATATAATAAGTAATAATATAATTACGTTATGTACTTTTTGTTTATTTCCATTTGGTAAATAATAAAATTTAAGAATTATAGTATAGTCTTTGAATTTTCTTAGTAGTATCTTTATACCTATGCAATATTGGCAAACCAATAAAATGAGTAATTTTGACGTTCATTTTCTATACCTATCAAAAGTGAATAAATTTTATTTAAATAATAAATTACCTAATAGTAGCACATTAACAAATTGAATGAAACGTTCAACATAATAATAATAGCAAAAAAAAAAAATTGTATTTATGTTTAAATGTTTATTAGGTACAAATATAATAAAGCTAGTTTGCTGATATTAATAAATATTTAATAATGTATTAATTGTATAAAGCTAGTTATAAAATTCAAGCTTTATTCAACAATATTAAACATTAATTAAGGAAATGTTTAAACATTTTAATACATCTTTATAATGAAAAATAAATTGAATGAAAAAACACAAGCATTATTACAGAAACATACATAACAGTAGTCTCAGTTGTCGTTGGTCATGATGGCTTCAGACACCTGCACCCAATCAAGTGCTGATAGCAAAGGGTCTTCACGCGTTGGGATGCGGTCCCAATTCCAGTACATCACCTGTGGAGTTATCTCACCAGTAATGGATTCCACTGCTGATGTAGAATCATCGACAACATTACGGCGATTTTCGTTGTCCTCGCCAACGCACAATACTCCAACATAGCCATCGGGGATGCTGAGCTTGACACCTGTCAATGGCTTGCCACGCAACGAAGAGTGCCACAACGCGGTTTCGTCATCTATTGCCGCTTTGGTATACGGACAAAAGTATCGGTCGACTGGAGCCGTCAATGTCTGKCGGCCGCCACCTAATTTGCGGGTGTGGATTTTGCATGGCAAYAGGTGTACCGCCTGTTGATCAGTCGCAACAGCATTAGCGTCGCTGTCTTCTGTCTGCCTGTGCTCTGGTCGCTTTATGACGAGACGCATTGCTTACAGTGGTTTGGAACACAACTGACGATAATAGTGTATATAATAATTAAATAAACAAGCTGTAAGCAACAAAATTGGTTATAAAATATAGCCGTTACAAATGAATTTGTATTTCATAGATCGAGTTTAGATAATAATGACAACGGCCGGATGTGATAACTGATAATGTGATCCGGTACAATGTGGAGGCAATAACGACCAGTACCTCCACCGACGGCGTGTGTCGCTTCACCTAGGTTTTWTATTTGTTGACAAAGACGGCGGCGGGAATCACGATTCACGAGTTACTATTTACGACGCGCATCAGCCGTACGCCATGGCCGCGCCGATAAGCCGTTAGCGTTAGCAGTCGCCAGTCGCCATTTCGCCAGTCGACAGTGGCGTACAGTCGTCGTCGAGTCGTGGCTGTCTCACAGATTAGAGCCGCATCGGCAGTTGCCGCCGTTACGATACCAAGATGTCCACAGTCGCAAGTATCGCTATCACGTGATTACGGGAGTTGTGAACTTGTGAGCCATAGATCCTACAATTTATGGTTGTGACTTAGTGAGTACACCCAGATTACCGATAGTGGCAAACGCCGAGATGATAACGCGCGTGCAGTGAGAGCGCGGCGACTGACTTTTAAAACTTTTTTTAATGTAAAAGTTCCGGCGCCGCGCCGTTTCATAACTTTTCAACAAGAATTTTATGTTTCTGACGTTTTTCACAACCTAGAGACGTTACACAAAACGGCAAGTACACGTTATTATCATCGTCGTTGTGCCGCACAGTACTTATTAAGGACACGTACATAGGCATGTGTTTCATACCGACGATTAATGCGTATTCGTCGTTATTCTTTATAGTCATCAAACAAACGAGTACTGCAGACTCTTCATTAACGACCAGTGATATCGTCGAGAAAGTGAATGCGATAGAATGGCATACTATTACTATTATCAAAGTAAGATACATCCAACTACATAYGTACCTATAWAAAATTATTGTTATCGTTCACAATTGACATTATGTTTGATAGATATAAGTGTATTAAAATTATTAAAATAAAATCTCCTATTTAAATCATTTGTTGTAAGATTTTTTGAGGATAACTTTTTTTGTTTGATGGAGTCATAATGTAATATATTATTTATAATACATGGACTAGACGTTTATCCATAGTAGTTACTATACAATGTACATGTTATTTATATTAGGTATGTTTCATTTCTATGATCATCAACGATTATCGAAATTATAGATTTTAACAATTGTAAATTTTAAAGGACACACGGTAATATTAAAGGTTGTTATGGTAGTATGGTTGGTACCTATGACTTCTGACAATAATAATATTTGAAATGTTCTTTAAAGATTCTATCCAACATCATAATATTATAATAAATTAAGTAAAGATAATTTTTCATATTTTAATATAGCTAGAACAAAATAAAAATGTTGATTTCAGAAATAATACCTTGGTATTTATAAATAATATTTAGTATTAGGTTACTGACCGTTAGTAACACAATTGTTAATTTTCATTGAAAATTAATAGTTTTATATTTTAATAGGCTGTTAATAAATATTGAAATTATTTATATCCAAATGATCATGCATTTGTGAATCAACCTATTTATTTTAAAAGTTGCATCATAAGTATTTTTACAAGCTCATTAATTTGTATGTGAATTTAAAAAAATGATGTTGAACATTTTAAATTGCATATGTTGATGGCATATTAGCATCATTATATTCCTATTTAGTTAACTTAATTAATTAAGTTATTTTACGGATGTACAAGATTATTCATTGCTATTTTAATTTAATAAAGCTTTTGGACACTAAAATACATAAAATGTGACAATATGTAATAATATCTGTGTATTTTACTGATTACAGCACCACCCGACCCATTATCGCCTCAACCAACCACAGAAGAATTATCATCACCGCAGTCATCTTTATTAATGCTATCTTCTCCGCCACAACAACAACGATTGAATCTTCCACTTCTCTCATCAGTTCTTCCATCGGTAACAACATCAATGCCAATAATGACAACGACTACAACTACTGCTGCCATAGAAAATAATGAACAGCAGCAGCTACCCACACCAAATACATTCATTAGGCATTGTGATGACATGGGTTTATTTCACGATTTACAAAATATTGTAGTAATGTCTTCATTAACTGGACMATCAGGTGATACAACTATTACTAAAGCYCCTGATTCTACTGCTGCTACAAAAGTCACCACAACAACATCAACAGAACAATCTACTTCTTCAAATTTATTTGACTCGTCGTCAACAGCAATTGTGACAACCATGATGATGGCCAATCCGTTTGACGAAACATTTAAACAAGCAGTATTACAACAACAAAAAAATGAAGCTAATTCTTCAGATAATATTTTCAGTCACAACAATAACAATGATGGGGATTTAAACACCCCATTTATATCAACAACCTCTGTTGTTAATACGTCCAATAACAACACTAGTAAGTTTTAACATGGGTATAGTTCCAACCAGAATAATAAATTAATATAAATAGTTTTTTATAGTTAATAAAATAGATTTTAAAAATAACTTAAGTTTTCTCTGCAACTTATATACTTTGTGTTTAAATAAAAGTTATTTATCTGCTTTAATATACTACGTTTATATGATGGCGTTAAAACGGTTTGGAATTCTTAAACTACATAGTGCAAGTGCACTAAATAAACCGTTTTGAAAGTTAAAACGCTCGTACTATGTAGTTTAAAAATTTATAACTGGTTTAATTTCGAACCATTTTAACGTCATAATATAAACATAGTAATAGATACCTAGATAGTTAGAAGTTCACATAAATTAATCTTAGTTGTAATCAAAAAAAAAAAAATCTTTTTGGTACACATCTATGCATAACTAGAAATCACTTCCATATTTACTTAATTTGCATCAAATATTTCTAATACTACTTTGTTTATATGAATAAATGGCTTGTTTGAGTTTAACAAATATATGATTTCAGCTTTAAAGACTTCAATGTCAGTGGATATAATGTCAACAACTGCAGTAGTAGAATCTAATAAGATGACTATGACAACTGTACCTCAATCGCAACACCAAAATATATTCATAACATCAACAGCAGAAGTAGGTTTACTTGATTTATATTCCATACACAAGTTTTAAATATATTGTTCATTTTATTTTTATTTCACTCAAGGCACAATCTAGAGGTGTATTAGTTATGATGGTAGAGCATCCACAACAGYAACCATCACATAACTCAACTCTTCCTTTACAACCTGAACATCAACAAGACCAACAAATTATCGAACAACATCAGTTTATTATTCCAACAACTACAACCACAACTAATGTCATTGACACAACAACAATAACACACCAGAATCAAGAATTTTATGAGGAAGAAGTCAATGATGAGAATGGTGGTATTATCATCAATGTTAGAAATGATACGACTACAATTAAACAGGTTTGTAGTCATTATTCATTTATTTATTTCTGACTCCTATTAGGTACTTGTTTAATAAACCAACTTTGTCCAAATAATTTTTTTAAGGAATAATAATACTATCATCTGCATATGTTTTTATGTTCACACACAATTAAAGGCTTTAAAACAGAATCTATTGGTGAAGCAGATGCTACAGCAAAGACGCCAGAAGCCTCCACTCATTTCTGAAAGTCATCACGAGCTTGGTCTACTACTGCAGCATCAGAATAATGATGACATTGATTTGGTTGTTACAGAAAACAATAAACTAGAACACGCAGTCTATAATGTTCATGGCCAGGAAGACAAAGACCAGAACAATCAAAAGCAGCAGCTGAAACTGAAACGAAAACAAGAAATTTTAGAAAGAAACAGGTAGTTCTTAAGAGGACGCTACACCCGCATACGTTGTCTCCATCTTACAAGTGCGTAACATAGCAAATTTTATGCTCAGCAGATCCCGTTTAGCTCCGTTAGTTAGGTTAGTAAATTGACTTCTTGCAAAAATTAAAGGTAACATTATTATCGAGGGCATGACGTAGGCTTTTTATTATATTTTAATTTTAAAGTGAGTTATGTGTATTTTAAGATATACA